GTGTCGAGGAAAAGTTGCACTATCGATTGATACAACGCGCTTTTATACTTCCAAGGTACATCAGGTAACCAGGTTTATCCTATCCAAAGGGAATAGACCCTTCTAGAAATAGAATCACCTTGCGTATAGCCACGCGAGGCTATTGGCTTTAAGAGATTACAACAGGATTACGCTAGATATAGCGCGCCAGTACATCTCGAGCTTGGTCGGTGATATAATTATAATAGCATGATAGACCAAAAGATAATGGAAGTGAGGAATACAAAACCAAATGAGATGAGATAAAGACCAAGAGAAAAAAGAAGAATGAGATGGAGGAGAAACGTGGAAATGAGAAAGGAGTGTAGCGGGATCGTACTCTCACACTTCCCCCCCTCAAAGTTGGGTGGTAGAAGTAACACCCTGCTTGACAATATAGTTGTGAAGAGGACGACGAACGTGATCCATCTCAGATTCAGGAACCCAGCTATCCTCAGAAGGATCATAACCCTTCCAATGAATGAGAAGCTCTACGGTGCCATTCCGACGACGGCGATGGGAAAGCACAGACTCGACCTCGTACTCGGGTTCATCGTGGACGAGGACGGGCGAAGGTGGTTGCGGTTGGCGTCCGATGAAGATCATGTTAGGATCTCGGTAGGGCTTCAGGAGTTGGACATGGAAGGCGTTGTGAATCTTCCAAGTGGCTGGCATGCGTAAGCTGAAGGTAACAGGAGTGACCTGTGCTTCGATGAGAAAGGGTCTGCAGAAGCGACGTCGCAATTTGGATGTGAGATGACGGATGTCGAGATTGCGGGTGTCGAGTAGCACCTGGTCTCCCACGGTGATGACGTGGTCGTTGCGATGGCGATCGGCCTGGCGCTTTTGTTGGTGCTGAATATCGAGGAGGCGCTTGTGGGTCCGATCCCAAAGTTGGTGCATGGTCATGATGAAGTCGTGTACGGGCTGGACTGTGTCTAATACTGTTGGTTTCTGTGGCGTGAGTGGGTTGCGTCCGTGACAGACGAAGAACGGCGTCTGTCCAATAGCGACGTGAGTGGCGTTGTTGTAGGCAAACTCCTGGACGGGCAAGGTGCAAGTCCCGTTTAGAGATCTCGTCCTTGCAAGCTGCGCGGAGGAGTTGCTCGACAATTTGGTTGAGACGCTCGGTCTGTCTGTCTGTCTGCGGATGGTAGGCGGATAACATGGCGAGTTTGGTCCCGAGCAGAGACATCAGTTCTTTCCCGAACTTGCTGGTGAACTTGGGGTCTCGATCGGAGATGAGTGTGGTTGGGATGCCGTGCTGTGAGATGATGGAGCGAACAAATAGTTGTGCTGTCTCCTCGGTGCGTGCTGTCGTGTGTGTCGGGATGAAGTGTCCCATTTTGCAGAATTTGTCGATGACGACGAGGATTACGTTATGACCGCTTGTGGTAGTTGGTAACCCGGTGATGAAGTCCAGGCTTTTCACTTGCCATGGCTGTTCAAGGACAGGAAGAGGTTGTAGCAGTCCTGCATTTTTCTGCTTGCTGCTCTTCATCCGTTGACATGTATCACACGATGTGACAAATTTCTGTATGTCAGCTGCCATGTGGGGCCAGTAGTGCTTTGCAATACCAGTGAGTGTCTTGTTGCTACCGAAGTGTCCTGCAAATAGGACATTGTGGTATACTTCGAGTAGTAACTAGCGCAAAGGAGGGTAATTGGGGACCCATATTTTCGTTGATTTTTTCCGATACGCGATGTCACTGTTCCACTGTAGAAAGTGTCGCCTTTCTTCCAAGGGAATTTCAGGGTCAATGGCGTACCCGTGTGTGAAGAGTCCCTGGACTAGTGGGTTCATCCCTTCGATCTGGATAGCAGCAATGTGTGCAGGCCGGCTGAGAGCGTCTGCTTTGTTTTGTGTCCAGGCTTGTACACGATATCGTAGTGGAAGTGCGTCTCAAGCAAGTCGATCCACCGGACCTGCCGCCTGGAGAGGTTTGGTTGTGTCTTCAAATATTTCAGGCTGCAGTGGTCGGTGTAGACGGTTGTTTTTCGTCCTTCGAGATAGCACCTCCACATTTTGAAGGCGATGAAAATAGCAAGGGCCTCCTTGTCGTGTATTGGGTAGATTAGTTTTGCCGCGTGTAAATTTCTTGCTGAGGTAGGCGATTGGTTGCAGTCCTTTTCCTTGATATTGCATCAAGACTGCTCCCACTGCCTGGTCACTAGCGTCGGCTTCGATGACGTAGTCGCGTTCTTGGTCTGGCAAGATGAGTACAGGCGCGGACGTAAGTGCTTGTTTCAGCTGCTCTACGACTTTCTGGTTCCCACGTATAGGGCGTGTTCTTCTTCAGTAGATTTGTGAGTGGTGTTGCATTTTTCGCGTATAGAGGCACGAACCTGTTGTAATTGTTAGCGAAGCTTAGGAATTGCTGCAACTCCTTCACGTTCGCAGGTGTCTTCCACGTGCGTATGGCTTTGATTTTCTTGCGGTCGATGTGAACTCCTTGAGCGCTCACCATGTGTCCTAGGAATTGGACTTTCTCAAGGGCGAATGCGCTCTTGGACGATTTGACGTAGAATCGTTCTCGTCGAAGAATGTTGAAGACGCGTCTCATTTGTTCAACGTGCTGCTTCATGTCGCGCGAGTAAATGAGGATGTCGTACACGTACACCACCACGCATTCGTCCAAGAGTGGGCGTAGAATGTGGTTCATTTCGACTTAGAACGTTGTCGGTGCATTGGTGAGTCCGAACGGCATTACCAGATACTCATACGACCCATACCGAGTTCGGAACGCAGTTTTGTGGATGGAATTGTCCGCCATTCTTATCTGCCAGTATCCGGACCGCAGGTCTAGTTTGGAAAATAACGTCGCTCCCCGATGCTGGTCAAGCAGGTTATCGATTCCTGGAATCGGGTATCTGTTCTTGATGGTCTGCTTGTTGAAAGCTCAGTAATCGATGCACATACGCATGCTTCCGTCCGGTTTCGTGAGAAGAGCACTGGGGCACTGTATGGCGAAGTGGATGGTCGGATGAGTCCTTTGGCGAGAAGATACTCGATCTGTTTCTTCATGTCAGCTAGCTGTGTAGGGCTAAGCTAATATGGTGCTCGGAAGGTCAGCTTCGAACCTGGTTTCTCCACGATTTCATGTTAGTGCGTTCCGTATGGCGGTAGCTTGTTCGGAAGGTCTTCAAGAAGAATGTCTTGGAACTTTTTCAGTCATTCCCGGATTTCTTCCGGAGGTTTCAAGGTTTTCTCTCCGTCATCTTCTACATTTGTTGCTATTGCTTCGAACCCGGTGTCGGTTCGCTTCACGTCCTTCTCGAATCTGGCGAGTTTCTCCATTGGGATATCTCCTGTATCGTCCCAGTTGGGTAGCTGGACTCTCCTTCCTTCGTTGTAGATGCTTGCAGTACGGTTTTCCCAGTTGATCTCGGGGTTGAATATTTTGAGGAAGTCTTGCCCGAAGATCAAGTCAAGCCCTTTTATGTTGGTGATGGGGAGTGCAGGTTTCCAGCGTAGTGGCCCAACTTGTAGGTGCAACACTGCTTCGCCGTACACCGGTAACTTGCTGCTGTCCACCATCGTTGCAGAGAATGATGAAGGCTTGTACTCTTCTCGAAGTCGATCGATTGTTGCCTTGTCGCATACGGTGTGTGACGCTCCGCTGTGCTAGTGGGTCGCCTTATGTACCTGATGACTTACACTCGTCTAGATCTTGCAAATGCCTACCCTGATTTGTCAGTGTTCAGAAATATGAAACCTTGAAATTCTCTGGGTTCATAGAACCCAATGAGGGTTCCATTTAGCAACGGCCATAGCCATTCTCAAATTGCCGCATCATCTCCAGCAGTCACGATATTTCTCCTTTGTTACTTCTGGCGGGCGGGTTTTTTTTTTTCAGATTTCCCTGGCGAAGTGAAAATATTGTAGCTCAAAAATCAGATGGCCATCCACGGCTCAATTGAGGGAGAGGAAATCAAAAAAGAGGGGAGGGGGGAATAAAATTCGAGTGGGAAAAGGGGAGGGAATCAAAACCGAGGGGAGGGGGAAAGCAAAACGGAGGGGAAGGGGGAATCGAAACGAAGGGTAGGAGGGAAGCAAAACGGAGAGGGAGGGGGGGATCGAAACGGAGGGGAGGGGGGGAAGCTAGCGCCCTCTGTGGGAGGGAACCCGCTCCCTTCCACCGTCATGGGCGTGATTCAAATGACTAAGGAAATGTGGGACGTTTATGACCGGCAACCATCGAACGGCTGATAATTGTCGAAACGATCGCAATCGATCCTGGCCGTCTCATTTTGATTGACTTTCAGATGACCACACAGGCAACTGGCAAAAATTCCACTAAAAGGAGCGACTGCTCTTAGAAATAAGTATGGGTTTGTTGGGGGTTTAATGGTGACATTGAGGACTGGGAGTGGGAATGTCTGTACAACATAATTAACCCATTTTTCGTTTGTCCTGTCTCTGGCTATTATGACTTAGCCAGGTTTTGTGGGTTGTTGGGTGTGCAGGGGGAGTGGCTGTCCTAGAGGACTTGGCTGATTTTTTAGGTTGCTTGGTGTGTGGGGGGGATGTCTGAAAAAAAGGACTTCGTCGATTTTTGTGAGTTGTTGGGTGTGTGGGGAGACCAGTCACGTGTAGGGGGGATTTTGCAGAAGGTCAAGGATGGCATGGATGTCGCATTCAGGGTCCGTACACGTTGCTCCCTGAAAACTCAGTATTGGCATAATGCAAACCATGAAATCCTAAGTGTTCAAAAACTTACAACCCTGAAGGGACTAGGGTTCAAAAGCGCCAAACCCTGAAAATTAAGGGTTGGCCAAAAAAATACCCTATGAAATCAGGGAATCGGGGTAAAATACCCTGATAACGACAGCCCTGCAACCAACCCCTATTTCATGCACTTGTATCATACCACATCACTGTCAGAACTCAGCCACTAACCACTGAGTTAAAAGGGTTTATTTAATAGCGGGTCAGTGCACCCATAGCCCCCCAGGCTCTGCACCTGTGGCCCTTCCCCGAGGATCTTCTCAAGGGTAACCCTAGCGGGTCACTCGACACCCCCCCACGCTGGGATAGGTGGAGGACAAAAGCGCCTCTGCAGCGCTAGCACTGGGAATTGAATTTGAGTCACCAACGCTCTGATACCATGTCAGAACTCAGCCACTAACCACTCAGTTAAAAGGGTTTGTTTAATAGCGGGTTAGTGCGCCCATAGCCCCCTAGGCTCTGCTCTTGTGGCCCTTCCCTGAGGATCTTCTCAAGCTTAACCCCAGCGGGTCACTCGACAATCACACCAGTAGATTTCCATCATGAAACATAAGAAACATTATCTAGCTTACAATATCCCTCCATTTTACACTACGAGGGCATAGTCTTTTAATCATAAAAAATGAAAAATAAACTCTTGAAATCGATTGGAAAAGGTTGCACTGCAACCCAAAAAATGACCTAGCTCTTTACCATGTTAGAGTAGCGGAAAATAATGTGACTAATGTTATAACAAAAATACACGTTCACTAATGTTGTCCCCACTAAGAAATGACCTAGGTAGGCTATAAAAAACATATCAAAACTAACTAGATATGTGTAGATAGAGCAATATGTTTGTTAACAAACCACCCATGGAGTGACTATTTTGGCGAGGCTGAGTGTTTTATACGGGGGATTACGTAAATCTATAACTAGTAAGGGTAGACATCAGGGCTGACGTTTCAAAAAAAGGCACTCTGAGCCAACCCCCCCCCCAAAAAAAAAAAAAAAAAGTCTGAAGGGCCTTCAGCCGAAATTTTGGTAGTCTGAAATGTCAGGGTCCGGAACTCAGCGAGTCTGATTTTTTCAGGGTCCAGCACGTACAATCAGAGTCACACACGGGAAACACCCCCACAGCAAGAAATATCCCTCCCTCCCACACCTCCCAAAAAATCGGCTTAGTCCCTTGCAGCCATTAAAAATCCTCCCACAAACCCCCCCCCCCCCCCCAACCAGCAACCATGCTCCCTCTTTTTGCGTAGTTGTTAAAAGTGGGAAACGGGGAAACCATTCCTAAAAACCGAGGTGGAAGAATCGCCCTGCCACGGATATCGAAACTGAGGGGAGGGGGAATCAAAACCGACGGGGAAATGGGGAGGGAATCAAAATGGAGGGGAGGGGGGAAGCGAAACGGAGGGGGGGGGGTCAAAACAGAGAGGAGGGGGGAAGCGAAACGGAGGGGAAGGGGGAAGTGATCGAAACGGAGGGGAGGGGGGAATAAAAAATGGAGGGGACAGGGGGAATCGAAATGGCAGGGAGGGGGGAAGCTGGGGCATAGGGCGGTGGGAGAAATTTCGCGCCCTTGCAGTGCCCCGGTTGGGAGATCTTGGACGTTAATCACTAGCTACCATCGAACGATTCATATACGTCGAAACGATCGCAATCGATTGTGACAGTTACATTTTGTTAGACTTTCAGCTGACCAAACCGGCAACTGGCGAGAATTTCCCTATGTGTAGAATGCAGAATTTACTCTCATTCGAATGCAGCTAAAAAAAATGTGAAAGTCTCATTCAAAACTTATGGGTTGTTCCGGGTGTTGGGGGGGACTGTATCTGACAACATGACTTCGTCAAAGTTTTCAATGGGTTGTGGGGTGTATGGGGCAGGCCTCAGGGTATCAGGGTAAAATACCCTTACGACCCTTATAATAAGGGTGGGGTGGGTGTTGGACCCTTATTTTTAGAAGTGGTTTAATTTTTACCCTTATGGAAAAGGCTAGATCTATACGGGACCCTGTTTTTTCAGAGTGGTCGGGTGTAGGGACCATGATGCAAAAAATTGTTGTGTAAGTCCACCCTTACACAATCACACATGCGATCCCCCGCTATAATAATTTCTCCCCTTGCCAACGTACAAATTTCGGCTAAGTCCCCCCAATCCGAGAGTCATTCCTCCTATACCCCTCGCAACCCAAGATTTCAGCTAAGTCCCCAATTGCCAAAGACATTCCTCCCTCCGCCCTCGAGCAACACCAAAAAATTGGTTAAGTCCCCCACTGACAGAGACAGAGCTCCTGTAGTACCCCTCGCAACTCAGAGGATTCGGCCAAGTCCACCACTAACAGAGACAGTCCTCCTGTACCCCTCGCAACCCCGAGGATTCAGCTAAGTCCCCCAGTGCCAAGTGTGTTTCAGTCAGACTTGGGGGAATAACTATTTTGAAATTACAGGGTAGCCTAGAACGAAGAGAAAGCCCTGGACGTGACATGTCACACCTTCTCTTCCCCCCTACCCATTTCGGGGAATGTCGCGCCTACGAAATATCGGCGACTTCAATTTATGTTTTCACGAGTTTTTACCTGGCCCCTACCCGCGCACGACGGGGATTCCCACCGTCTGTTTCTTCTGCTAATGGTTTACGCTTTTGGTTTCTTCTTCGGCTGCCACTCACCCGAGAATTCATGGGCACTGTTACAAAACCTGTCGTCTTGAATGTTTATTTCGTGTCGGTAGTGTCGTACCTGTCACCGAGCCCATGGGCTGCCCCTA